CACACACACACACACACACACACACACACATACACAATGTGTTTAATTCAGTTATTAGTCTAAAATAAAATAGTCCAAAACAGACTATGTCTTGAGAACAATAAATGGTAGAAAGAATAAAAATAAGTGTATTTAAAAATAAGTGTATGTGGGCCAGCTGAGTGGCTCAGTTGGTTACGAGCTCACTCAAGAGTGCGAGCTCTGAGCAACAGTGGTCGAGTCCCGCCTCAAGCTGAGCTGCCGCTGCACTGCCAAGAGGTGGCAGGATGGCTCAGCTAAAAATAAATAAATAAATAAGTATGTAAGTTAAATAAGTCAAAGAGCCATATCATTTATTGGCTACATTACCAAAACCATTTTTGTTCCAGATAAGCCACTTTTGTCAGGTCTAAACAAATGTGGCTCCAAAATCTCCTAGAGAGTTTACAAGTACTTCTTTCGGTGACATGAGTGAGATCGGGAGAAGGAAATAATCCCAGCCTTAAATCCCAGTGTACAAAAGAACATTGCTAGGAGTTTCAAAAATTTTATATATCATTTTCCATCTCAACAGATACCAGTTAGATAAAGCTTCTCACTGATCATAAGTTTTCTCAATGCACCTGCCAAATCCACAGGTAGAAGGATTAAACACCATGCAGTGCCAGGTTGCACTTTAACCTTCACCCTGAGCTTTAGTTTCAGATTGTAGCAACTCATATAACTGAGCAATATTTGGATCTATGCTAGCCCGGTGTAGTAGAGGTCAGTGGTGTTCATATAAATTTTGGTTCAAAACTCTTGAGAAAACTCTTTATAGTTGGTCTGGTCTTCTGTACACATCAAAAAAAAAATGGTTTCAGGATCCTTAGGAACCAAATGAGCCTGGGGTAGATCTAGGCAAAAGTAAATCCCCAAGGTCTGAGCTATAATAAACTATATGTCAGGAACCCACTGGCTCTTGATCAATTCCAAGGACAGGTAAGGGGTAGGGAGTCAGGTGTTTGCCTCACTTAGGGAACTTGCCAATCATGTTATTGGATATTGCATACATCTGAAAAGGCAGTTACCAAAGTTCTTCTTTATCACAAAAGTGAAGCTCTACACTAGAGTAAACCCGAATATAAAATCTATTTTCAACCAAAAGATAAATAATAAATTTATACTATTTTCAATGCAGTTTTGCTATCTTTTACAACTATGTAATTCACTTGATAAATATTAAACCCATGAAGAAGAACACTACAAGTTTTGTTTTTAAAGGTTTTTAAAAGTGACCTTTAACAAGCTAAGAAAACAAGCTGAAGAAAATTCCAAATCTATGATACCAAATCTATCCTGATTATAAATGGTGATTTAGACAACCTGATTTATGAAACCAACAATGTCTATAATTAAGTACTATAGTCCTACTTCATTTCACTTTAGCAAAATAATATTACTGAACGATGTGCCACAGAAAAGACATTACAATAAATATTTCTCCAGACCCAAGCAAAATTTTACTCTCAAATGGAATACAATTTAAATTGCAAATACCAGAACCAAGAAAAAGGAGAAACGTATATTATATAGAAAGCCTCATAGCCCACCTTTCTTCTTGACTGGCATTCTTGGGTTCTTCTACTGCCACAGGATTCAAGATCTCTTTTCAGGTCTCAACTTGATCCAACTGGATTGAAGCCAAGAGCCAGGTAACTGTTGCAAACCACTTCACCTGTTTGGTTTTGAAATCCAGGCTGTCTTCTCTTTCAGATAAAGAAAAAATAACGTGTTTTTTTTTCTCAATTAAACTTTTGACGCTGCCCACAGAGTTTAGTGAAAAAAACTTTTGAGTTTTTCAAGTTTTTCAATTTTTATAAAATATTCTGGTTTTTTTTAAAGCTGATAAAATTATTGTAAGCATAGAAAACATTATTAAAACTCCTCTTCAGGCAGCAACATTTTTGGAGATCAATGGCTAACTCAATTAAGGCACAAACCAAATTTACAAAGCTGTTTCATTACTCAATACGTGATCTAATTCAACGATGAACATTGTTGATGATAAAGATCCTCAATTCTTTAGAGAAAATTTAAACACCGCTCCAAAAAAAAATACTTTTAAAAATCTCTTTGACTCTGGTCTGTACAAAGGTGGGTGAGTTTGAACAGTTTCCTGGGGCAGAACACAGACTGAAAAGGCCCCTTTTCTATTTACTGGACCAGAAGTTCCAAATCTCACCCCCTCAGTAAGACAGGATCCAGCTTGCTGTCACTTTCATTTTTTTTTTCTTCTGTGTTCTCCAAGCCCCTCAGGCTTGATCCTTAATGCCCCTCTGATTCTGATCCTCCCGTGTATTAACCGAGAGGACTGAAAAGAAGGAAAGCAATCCCTTGGCATGGAGACATTAAAGTGACAGTGCTACTCAATGGGCACTTGATGCAGGATGAGTTGGCGAAGCAAATTTCTTCACACTGGAGTCATTCACATCATGCCATCTCTTCGCATCCAAGCAGCTGCCTATCCAGCGAGGAAAAACACTGAGACTGCTCCAGAGAAGTCAAACCTTCCCGCAAAGGTGTTTTCTGAGATGCTGTAGTAGTAATAGGCATGTGAGCACAAGCTGTGCAAAGGGTTCGCGGTTTCCTAAATGAGAGTGTTCGGCTGCTTGGCTTCCACATCCACCCTTTCTGTCATTCTCTCTCCAAACTACCCACCTTCCTTTTGCAGAAAAGACAAGAAACCTCGGCTACCGCTGGCCACCCCTGCCCACACCCCGTTCTCATATAGAAGAGCACAGAAATGTCCTGCACCCTCCACGCGATGAAGTGTTTCCTCAGGCAGGAGAAACAGCAGCACTAGAAATTATATAACTCTCGAATTTGGCTTCTCTAAGACATGGAGACTGGAGGGTCGGGGGTTGCTGGTCTGGGAGATACTGCTGGGCACTGAACGTGCAGGGGAAGGCGCCAGGCCTCCTCGCTGCGCCCCCCACACCGAGACACTGGCTGGCACGGGGGTCTTCTCGGGATTTAGGGGGCAAATTTCCCTCTGGGTCCTTTCCAAGCGGAGTGAAAGGATGGAATGTGAGGGCACTAAGGATTAGGGAGAGGAGTCAGTCGGCTGGGAGGGGGAGGAGGCCAGTCGGGGCTGCCCTGGCGGCCGGGTGGGCTCAGGGGAGGAGGTGCCTGAGAAGCTGGAGCCTTAACACACGGGCCAAGCCAGACGGTGAGCTCCCACAGGGAGTCAAAGGGGCGGGCAGCACGGCCCCAGCTAACAGAGGTGCCCACAAGAGAGGAAAGCGCGCAGCAACATCCCTGCGCTCCGACCGCCCCACGTCTCCCTCCGGAGGGGAGAAGAGGGAGCCAGGTTAACAAACAGCAAAAGGAGGGAATGCAGGGCGGGCCTACGGGCGTCTGGACCTCCTCGAAGCCAATGACAGGCCGTAATTTCAGGGCGCCGCACCCAATCAGAGCCAGGATGGAGGGCGCGGCTTTTGACTGGGTCGGGGCGGGCCCGGACTGCAGGAGAGAGGCGTGAGCCCGCACCGCTTCCCACCCCGGGCGTCCTGGGTCCCCGCCCCCCTGCCAGTCACGTGGGCCGTCAAGATGGCGGCGCTCGGGCGAGAGGCTGGGGCTGACCTGAGGGATGGAAGTGTGGTGCCGGTGGGAGCTGGGGAAGTGCCCAAGGTAGGCGGGAACCGGGTGGTACGGGCCTTCATTTCTGCAGCCTCAAGTGTTGGCGGGCTCTTCTGAAATGATGTACAAGGGACTTGAATATCTAAAGAGGACAGCTCCCAAGGGCTCAATCAAGTCTCCAGTTGCAATGGAAAGAGGCGGCGAGAAAGTGGGAGACCTGAAGTGTAGTCTTGATTGCTTACCGCTTGTTTTTTCTTGACCCCCCCCCCCATCCCCGGGCCTTTGCACTGGCCTTCCCTTCATCTCTCCCTCCTCACCCAACACCCGCCAAATTCTCCTCATTCTGGTATTACTGTAAATGTCACTTCCAACGGGAAACCTTCCCACATTTACCGTGGCTAAGTTTGGCTTTTCTTATATATTTTTTGTTTTTATGGCACACTCATTCTGCGTGTAAATTCCCTGCCTTTTTGCCCCAACCTCTGGCCGGGTTGTGTGTCCCTGAGGACATGACTACACCTTGATTATTCCCAGGGCTGTCAAATGATGGAAGATTGTTGAATAAAATTCCGAAAGTCAGGTGAAATAGTACACATAAAAGCACTACAAAACCATAAAATACTTTACAAACTATAAACCTGCAGTTGAGTGGCCTTGGACTAATTTTTTTTTTTTAAGATTTTTTTTTTATTGGGNATTCCCCAATAAAAATCTTAAAAAAAAAGTCTTTGGTTTCATATTTGCAATAATTCTCTTAAGCAAGGTCAACATAACCCCTTTGAGAGATTTTAAATCTAAAAAAAAAATCTTTAATAAATTATCTATTTTACTCTGACTTACAGAAATTGAAAAAGTTTGAAAATTGTCTTTTTCCATCCCTCTCTGGAAAAATTCAGTGTTTAACTCTTTTGGGTTTTATTGGCTGGGAAAAGGATAAAAAACATAAGGTTTCGTGAAATGGAAAAAGCATCTAGATATACTCGTAAAACTGGTATAACAAACATGAAAATTCAAGCACAAATTTGGTAAAGTATATGCAAAAGGAATAAAACAGCTACTCAGGCACAGCCAATAAATTACAGTACATATTTTTTCCGTTAGAGAATCTGAAAAAAAATATATTTTAAGAAAGTTAAGAAAAGTTAGAGATAGAGAGTATACCCAGACAATGAAAGGCAAATAGAAATTAGTAAGATACTATAAAAAAAAAATTAAGCCACAAAGTGCTGGAAACAGATAATGAATTAAAAAACTTTAAATAAGGAAGGAATAAACAGAAGATTTCTGGGTCCCTTCCCCAAAGAGAGGAAGAAAAAAAGAAAAATCGATGTGACAATTGTGTGAAGTAAACGTCAACCAAAAGGAAAGACTGAACCCAGGAAATAACAATCTCAATTTCAAGGATGCCCATGAGATATATGGCAATATCAACTCTTTGAATTCTAATTACACAACGTTCTTCAGCTTTCTTTAAAAAGAATGTCAAAATATATGAATTACTAAAATGATAATATTTAACTTTCATACTTGGTAAAAATAAGTTTATACACATTCTATTATATCACTGAGAACAGTTGTGAAAAAAATTAAAAGGAAATAAAGTGTCATATAAATGAGAAACATCAGGTAGACTTCTTCACTTATTTAAAAGCTCAGAAGATAATTAATGGGACAATTTTTAAAAAAAACACAGAAATGAAGTGAACACCAATCTCAAAGTACTAAATGCATTGATTTCTTCACATACTTAATGCAAAGAGAACAAAAAACTACTCAAAAAAGAAATTTCAATGTACTAAAAAATTCTTGTGAAGCATATATTGTTAAAACAGCAACTTTCCACTAAAAACACAGGGAAGGACACAATTATCATTAACTTTTATTTCTTACATTATTCCGACATGAAATCAGATCAGATCAACAAGTCTACTTGAAATAGCCTCTTACGATACATCATGATCTTGCATCATATCAGAGAACGCTAATATAACTTATCTTGGATTGGCCCTGAATTTTCACAAATTAAAATAGGTCAAAGATGTCCTGAAGGCTTAGTTGGGAACAAATCACGTTACTATTGTAGAAAAGAGAATCCTGAATGAAAAGCAACTCTTGGGGAAAAAAAATCTCTAACAGAGACATAAAGAGTCTTCTGTTGATAAAACTGAGATCTGTAAAATTGTGAAGAGTGGGGTGGGGGAGGTAGGAAGCTTATGTCATAAAGCAAAAGAGCAGTGAATACAGGGGTTTGAGATACAGCAGTTTCAGCTTATCTAAGAGCAGTCAAGAACAGTACCTAAAAATGACTTAATGAGATGTCAGACCCATTCCCACTTCCCACCATGGTGGTATGTTATCAATCAGAGAATCTCCTCTGTGCTTTTACAATAACATACAAAATAAACACCAAGTGAAAATCTGTCCTATGAACATTTATTTTAACAAGTACATATTCAACAAGGATTAAACACTTGGCTCAAAAAAGATACTTATTGTTAAAATTACATTAATCTAGCTCTTCCATCATATCTACCAGATGTAACAATGAAGAAAGAAAAAGATTCAAGATGACAGACAGTATCCTCTCTGCAGAATAAATCTAGGTTATATTTTACTTATATTTTAGAAATAGTACAAAAATAAGCTTAGTCAATTAAAAATATAATGCATGTGTCACAATTTGTTTGGCTAGTTGTGTAAAGATTCAAAAACATATCTTAATAATACTGGTTTTAAGAGATTAAAAACAAGATAAATTGTTTTGCTAACTAGATCAGTTCATAAAGTAAATTATATATGCATATACTTTAGTATAACCCAAATATATACTTGTTTTGCTAGTTAGAACTTGTTGATTCCTTAAAATTTGATCCGTTACAAGCAATTCATTGTTAAAGAAAAAAGAAAAGGAAGGGTGGGGGGATGGGGGAAAGAGGGAGAAAGGGAGGGAGGAAAGAAAGAGGGGAAGAAGGAGGAAGGAAGAAAAAGGGAAAAAGGAAATAAAAATTAAATTATTTCTCATAAAGTATCATTTTCAATAATGTGTCAGAAATTTTTTAACTTCCTTTAAAGGCAGGAACTTTTAATCGACTCAGTCAATTGGGCTTAGAAATCTTAAGATCACCCTGCTTAGTTAAGTTACACCTAGAACATCAATTGCACTTCCTCCTCCTCCTTCCCAGATACCTTTTTATCCCTTTATATCCTTCTCCCTCTCCCTCTCCCTCTCCCTCTCTCTCTCTCTCTCTCTCTCTTTCTCTCTCTCTCTCTCTCTCTCTCTCTC